CCATGCAAAAACAGTGCAAAGTTAAACGCACCCGCCATGTGTGTGTGTATGTGCGTGAACTTTGTGAGACTCATTGTTTGAAAAAGGCTTGAATTAACTCAACAGATACAATAAATAATCATTGGGAATGTTCTTGCGGTAGTAATTCTCACAAACGGTACATAAGATCTTCTGCTTCATGTCTGTCACTGTGCTGTTTATCTGACGCAGCCGAGGCGGAGATTGAGGCACACTCTGACAGGCATGACTAGCAGGCAACAAAAACAGCTACATTGTTTTCAGAGCAGAAAATCCAATATTCTGAAAGGTATAATAAATTATCTGATGGGTGTTTTGACCTGAAACTTTTCACATTCTGGAGACACAAAAGACTCATCTTAAATCTTGAAAAAGGGGTAAAATAGGTGCCATTTAAAATGCTACCAAATGTGAGAGGAAAAACACAAAATACATCTATTTATGGAAGAATAAACAAGAATAATTTTTTTCAAGCATGTTTATAACACCCTGTTTCAATTGTAATACACCCTGTTTTAATTGTAATAAAATTTCATAATATCATTTTATTTTTTATTCATTAAAATGTGCCTAAGCATGAGGACTTATTTTTAAAACATTTAGAACAGGGGTGTCCAAACTGGGTCCTGGAGGGCCGGTGTCCTGCATATTTTAGTTCCAACACCAATTAAACACATCTGAACCAGCTAATCAAGCTCTTTCTAGCTATACTAGAAGCTTCCAGCAAGTGTGTTAAAGGAAGTTGGAGCTAAACTATGCAGGACACCGGCCCTCCAGGACAGAGTTTGGACACCACTGATTTAGAATGATGAAAAAATTGAAATGAAACTGGCTTGAAATGACAATTCAAAACTCTTGTAGATGTTAAAATGAAGCTGTTTGAATTTTATTAGGATACAAAGTGGAATCAAAACACTTTTCTTGGGACAAAATAAATTGTATGAATATTTAATGTGAAATTGTCTTGGGGAAATGACAGAATAATTTAGTGATATAAAAAGACATCTAAAATAAATGATCAAATGTTATTTGAAAAAAGAAGTTGAAGAATGTTTTGAAATGTGGAATTCCAAAGAAGTGCAAGTCAATGTTTTCTGGAGGAATCAGGAATGTCGTAATGCCGCGTCAGTCAGATAAAACTACCCTCTGAGAAGCTGAGACAGGTTTAATGTATCTTCATGGGACAGAAATGACCCTCCTTTCCATCAGACTGACTGATCGGCTCTCAGCTCAATGCTTGGAAAATATTGCTTTCACATGACTGGGATTTCTCATGCATTAATGGCCAAGAGAACACACACACACACACACACACACACATACTCGCACACATGACTTTAACATCACCGTATGATTCATGCAGAATCAACCGTTCCTCCTTCTGCTGCGAATGTTTAACCCTCTTAATGCATTTGAGACAGTTTTGGTATTGAAGGGATGCTTTTTAAACCAATTATTTCAAGATTATACAATTAATATAATCAGATAATTTTTAAAAATACCTACGCATAATACCTATGTATTTGTGCCAATATTTATCCTTTTCACCCTATATTTTTCACATTTTCAAGACAAAATTTTGTGTTCAGCATTATTTATTTTAATATTTTACTAGATATTTTTCAAGATACTAGTATTCAGCTTAAAGTGACATTTAAAGGGTTATTTTACTTTTAGTTAATTAGATTAACAAGGCAGGTTAGTGTAATTAGGCAAGTCAATCAAACACACCTGAACAAGCTAATCAGTGTTTTCAAGGTCATTAGAAATCTACAAGCAGGTGTGTTTGATTAGAGTTGGAGCTAAACTCTGCAGGACACCGGCCCTCCAGGACCGAGTTTGCCCACCCCTGATCTAGTGGGTCTCTGTTGCCTTTAATGTGAGCGTTCGCCATTTCAGGAGGCGTGGCTTTGGACGACAGGGGAGGGATGTATTTGAAACTAAGTGGTTAGCATTTAGGCAGATCACCTACAGCACCTTTAACTTATTTTAAGCATTTTATTCAGAAGGAAGCCTTTGTCCTTATGATTTATAGATTTTATAAAATGATGCACTTCATTAAGAATTCACCACCTTGGAATTATAAGGTTCTATCTGCGTTCTGAATGATTTTGAGTTATTGAGCTTCAAAGTTTTTGTATTCCATAGAAAACAGTATGTGTGTAACTTAGTTTTTTTGTTTTTTTTTTAAATAAAAAGACTTAAAATGTAAACAACTTATAAAAAACATCCCACACTGAAAAAAATTATATTCAAAGATGATTCCTTGGGTTTACTCAATTTTTTATACATTAAGTGGTTGTAAACAATTTATTTGTGTTGAATTTAAACAAATAAATTAAGTTAAACATTATTCAATTTAATTTGTTTGTTTAAATTCAACACAAATAAATTGATTGCAACAGTTCTGCATGCAACACTTTTTTCAGTGCATAATGTAAATAAGTTGTCATTTAATAAGAATATGTCAGTAACTCAATTTTGACAAAAATGTCAGACAGAATCTTTTATGATACTGATTTGTGCATTAGAATTCCTTGGTGTGGTTCAGGTGTCATTTTAAATTTCAAAGAATGTTTACAAATTTTGTAATTAATCAAAAAAGGAGAAACGTGCAGTAATATTAAACAAACTAAAAGCATTCGAAACTTGGCCATTTGTCTACATTCTCACATTATTTTCAAATACGAACTTATGACAATTTATCAGTACCAAACAGATCTGAAATATGAAAAACATGTGCTGATTTTGAATGCATTAGGAGGGTTAATAATTAACTTCAGCAAATTATTCAGAAGGAAGCTTTTGTCCTTAATGAACCACAAAATCTACTGCTAACTGACTAAAAATTATACTCAATAAACTAAAATAGTTAAAATTATCATACCAACAATTGAATAATTAGCCTTTTCACAACAGTCTGTCTGCATACAATACATATATCTAAATACATTCATCTGAACCAAATAACTGAAAACAAACACTAAACCTCACCTTTCACCTCTAAACCTTTGAAATCTATGAGCCAAACCGCATATTTGACCAAACCGAAAGCGTTCTTGCTTTACTTTAATGGCTCATTTAGGATTGTGCTAATTACATCCACACAAGCTTTTCCCAAATCAGTCATCAAGTGAAGAAAGTGCCTTGTTTTCTAATAAGGTCCAGAGGCCCCACCCTGGAGCGCAGAGGAAGAGAGGAGCGAGGAGCTGAATGGGACGCAGTGCATGCTGGGACCTCTGCTTCCTGACGGGACGCCACTGCCAGATACTTTCCACACCACAAGGAAGTAAAGCCGACAAGCTGACAGCCAACAGCACCCTCATCACACAATTAAGATCAGGTATGGTTCGCACACAACATACCTTTTTCTCTTTTTTTGGCATTTCACTGGCACTTCTGCTATTGAAACGCAACAGTCGAGTTCTGGAAGTAGAAATCCTGTTCATTTTGTCTATCGGAAAATCAAATTTGACTCATCAATCATAAAGACAAACTTATGAAATGTTGAAATCTTCAGTTGTTAAATGATGATATAGGCTTCTGTTCAAAGCAGTCAGCTTACTTTTTATTTATTCATTCATTCATTCATTCATTCATTCATTCATTCATTCATTTTCCTTTGGCTTAGTCCCTCATTAGTCAGGGCTCGTCACAACGGAATGAACCACCAACTAATTCAGCATTTGTTTTATGCAGTGGATGCCTTTTCAGCCACACTTAGAAATTTTTATGTATATATTTATTTTAAATCCTGTTCAGCTGTAGAATATCTGTAAAAACTACATTACCCACGATTCTGCTGAGAAATCCACCAATCAAACACTTGCAAGAAGCAAATAGCAGCAAAATTACATTTTAGCTCCGCCCCTTTCAATACATATATACATACATATGTGGATATGTTGCATAAATTAAATCATTCATTCGTTAATTTTCTTTTCAGTCCCTTTATTCATCAGGGGTCACCACAGTGGAATGAATCACCAACTATTCCAGCATATGTTTTATGCAGTAAGATGTCTTTTTAGCCACAACCCAGTACTGGGAAATTTCTATGTATATATTTATTTTTTAAACCCTGTTCAGCAGTACAATTTCTGTAAAAACTACATTACCCATGATTCTGCTGAGACATCCACCAATTAGACATTTGCAAGAAGCAAATAGCAGCAAAACTACATTTTAGCTCCGCCCTTTCCAATTCCGTCTAATTGCACTCTGAACTGCTTAGATATTTGTACATACATGGAAATGTTGCATAAATTAAATCATTCATTCATTTTCTTTTTCGGCTTGGTTCCTTTATTCATCAGGGGTCGCCACAATGAAATGAACCACCAACTATTCCAGCATATGCTTTACGCAGCGAATGCTCTTCCAGCCGCAACCCAGTACTGGGAAACTTTTATGTATATACTTATTTATTAAACCCTGTTCAGCTGTACAATTTCTTAGAAAACTACATTACCCATGATTCTGCTGATTCATCCGCCAATCAGACACTTGCAAGAAGCACTACATTTTAGCTCCACCCCTTCGTGGTCAGTCTAACTGCGCTCTAAACTGCTTAGATATTTGTACATATATGGATATTTTGCGTAAATGAAATCAAGATCGTTAAATTAATGGTTTCATGTTTTTCTGTAATTTTATTTGCATCCATGACAATGCTTTATGGCAGTGTTTGTCAACCACGTTGCTGGAGTACCACCAGCTCTGCACATTTTCCATGTCTCCTTAACCAAGCGCACCTGATTCAGATCATCAGCTCATTAGCAGAGGCTGAAATACCTGTAATGTGTGCAACAGACAAAGGAGACATCCAAAACATGCAGTGTTGGTGGTCCTCCAGGAACGTGGTTGAGAAACACTGCTTTATGGGATTGTAGTTTTTTTTTTTAGTGTAGTTGTATTTGTCTTCTTGGCTTCAAATCAAAATTTGAAAAGTTGTCATTTTTTAAATATTTTTATATATATTTTTATGTTACTGATGGTATTGTATTACTGACTGCTTCAACAAAGGGAAAATGAATAGGAAAAATGCTTCCAGAACTATTGAAAATGTGGACATTAATGCAGACAATATTTTCATGTTGTAAAAGTCATGCATTAACATCATTGTTTTAAACAAAAGAACTGCTTGCTTTTACTGCTGTCTCACACTTTTAATGCAAGAATGTTATAGATAGACCACTAATTACATTAAAGGTCTGTTCTTAAGGACAACCCAATGACAGAACACACATGCCATGAGCATAAAAAGCTGAATTAGTAATAATACACAAGTTTAAAAAAAAAATTCTCAGATATGTGTTTTTGTAAACACTACAGAAAATTAAAAAGTCAATAAAGGAATAGTATTAGTAAGTCACCAAACACGCAAGAGGAACTCAAACCATTTTCATCTGAAATGTATTTAAGGGTTCATCTCCTTTATATTGTTTTTCATATTATTTAGATACCATAGAATGGTATCCAAATGTTTAGTGGTCTAATGGAATGCCCCCAAAAATGTTCTCTCTTCTTAAAAATAAGTATTTACTTAAAGAAAATTCAAGCAAAAAGAAAAAAATTGTTGCTAATGGGGGTTTCAAAACAGTGTAAAACCAAATATTTGACTTGATCTTGTGTTTAACAGATAAACGTTGGGTTCAGATGGCACAATATCAGCCTGATTCTGATCAATTGTAAACCACAACAAGAATGCTTGAATAGATGGATCTTGGATCTGGTCCTGACAGAACTAGACTAGCGTGTTTAATTATTGTTTAGTCATCCAGTGTGGTTTGTCACACACTTGATATTTACCTACAGAAGCACAGAAGATTTTCTGAACTGACCTTTCTAACATGATGACAAAATGGCTTAGGGTTTCCAGATCTAATATTCTGATGTTTCCTCAAGCTTTGTTTTGCTTAATCACTAGTTCTGCCTTCTTGATGGTATCACACACATCAAACATTGTTAAAGATGGCATACAGTTTTCACTTCGGGAGTTTTTTTGGTTCAAGAATTTAGGAGTGTAAATCAAAAACAAACATAACAATCATAAAGATATTGTGTAGTCTGAACCCGGCGCAAGACTGTGCTTCCTGGTCATCATTGACTACTATTCCATAGCATTCCCACCATTCCTATGCATTCCTCTGCGCGTAATTGAATTAAAATACCTCTATCCTCTGTATTTTCAGAGGAGTATACAGGGCTTCTTGTTAGCCACGGGTTGAGGACTAAGGTAGGCACGCACTGCGTCTGCAAACACGTCCTTGATGCCGTCCTGACTGAGTGCCGAACACTCGCGGTACTTGACGGCGTGGATTTGGCGAGCCAGCGCTTGACCCTGCTGGGTCGTGATGGGCGCCTGGTTCTGCTCCTTCAGCTTCTTCAGCACGTCGGCGTCATTGCGGAGATCACTCTTGGTTCCCACAAGCAGGATGGGCACGCTAGGACAGTGGTGTGTCACCTCCGGGTGCCACTTGTGCTTGATGTTCTCGTAGGACGGAGGGCTGGAGATGGAGAAGCAGATGATGAAGACGTTGGTTTGAGGGTAGGACAGCGTGCGAAGGCGGTCGTACTCCTCCTGACCCGCGGTGTCCCACAGATTGAGGCTGACGGTACGGTTGTCCACGCTGACCTGGGAGCTGTAGTTGTCGAAGACGGTGGGAATGTACTCTTTGGGGAAGGCGCCGGTCGTGTAGGAGATGAGCAGGCAGGTTTTTCCCACCGCTCCGTCTCCCACCACCACACACTTGATGCTCTGCATGATTGAAAGATGTGTCCTTGACTTCAGCAGTCTGTGGAGGAAGAGACAACACTGTTTAAAAATGCTCAGTGAAATCTGTTTCAAATCTTAACGTTAATTAGGGCTGGACGATATTGGAAAAGTTTTCTGTGATATACAGTTAAGTCCATAAATATTTAGACATCGACACAATTCTAACATTTTTGGTTCTATACACCCACACAATGGATTTGAAATGAAACAAACAAGATGTTTGAGCATTAATTTGAGTATTTACATCCAAATCAGGTGAACGCTGTCGGAGTTACAACAGTTTGCATATGTTCCTCCTACTTGCTAAGGGTCCAAAAGTAATTGGACAGAAAAATATATATAAATCAGACTTTTACTTTTTAATACTTGGTTGCAAATCCTTTGCAGTCAATTGCAGCCTGAAATACGGAACACATAGACATCAGCAGATGTTGGGTTTTATCCCTGTCGATGCTCCACCAGGCCTCTTCTGCAGCTGTCTTTTGCAGTATGTTTTGGGTCATTCTCCATTTGCTCCGTGAAGCACTGTGCAATGAGTTCTGAAGTATTTGGCTTATTATGAGCAGAAAATATTGTCAGAAACACTTCAGAACTTATCCTGCTGCTCCTTTTGTCAGCAGTAACATCATCTAAAAATTCAACAGAACCAGTTCAATTGACAACCATAAATGCTCACGCCATTCCACGACTACCACAATGCTTCACTGCTTAGGATCATGAGCAGTTCCTCTCCTTCGCAATACTCGTCTCTTACCATCACTCTGGTACAAGTTGATCTTGGTCTCATTTGTCCATCCGATGTTGTTCCAGCACTGTGAAGGCTTTTTAGAGCTCCAATCTGGCCTTCCTGTTTTCACCAATGGTTTACATCTTGTAGTGAACCCTCTGTATTCATTCTGGTGAAGTCTTTAGACGGTTGACCCTGACGCACATACACCTACCTCTTGGACTGTGTTCTTGATCTGGCCAACTGTTGTGAAGGGTGGGTTCCTCACCAGGGACATAATTCTTTGGTCATCCACCACAGTTGTTTCTGTGGTCTTTCGTTTCTTTTGGTGTTTCTGAGCTCACTGGTGCGATATTTCTTTTTAAGAATGTTCCAGCATGTGCCACGTCTAATGTTTTTGCTATCTCTCTGATGGGTTTGTTTTGTTTTTTCAGCCTAATGATCTTTGGATCTCATCTTGAGAGTTGACAGTACCTGATTCCAAATGCAAATTGATCTCTGACGTTACATTTACATTACATTACATTTTTGCCATATCGCCCAGCCCTAGCTTAAATATCTTTATTTGGAATCATTTTAGATTGATTGGGATGATTCTGTAGGACAGTGAATCTACATAGAATACAATAAATGATCTACAAGCACTGATAAATACAATAAAAAATATATATAAAAATGAAATAAACAGTGTTTTATTGTTTTCCAAGGAGTTTAACAGTATTCACATATACAGTAATTGAATAATCAAATAAAAATAATACTGCATAATCTTTATAATTGTATAAACAACTAAATCAAATTAATAACGTTACAAATGGAACGATTACTTAGAAAACAAATCCTCATACAGTCACAGACCTCAAAAACTCATGCAAATGATGAACTATAATCCCGAATCAACGTTGCGTTTCCTGTGATGTGACTATTGCGAATGATCACAATTCGATATTGATGCTGAATAAATTAAACAATTACAATTGTGCAGCTCTAGAAAGGATTATCTTTTTTTAAAAGTATATGACAATGTTGGCATGCATTTTCACCTCAACTCAGATCAGTCTGCAAAATATTTGTTCCAAAGAAAGGAAGTGAAACAGTATTCATACGTTTTCAAAAAGCCATTCAGACTTTTGTATTTGCTGTAGTGTTTGTCATATGAAAGCAAACACCACACTGCAGAGATGAGAACAATGAACATTTTTATGAGTCATTATTTTTTTTATTATATTAGTTTTTTTTATTAAATGATTAACTATCTGAAATTAAAAGGGTTTAAGTGAAAAAAAAAAAAAATTCAGTTGACTAGGGTGTTACATGATGCTGCTTTCAACTAAAAACAAAACAAATGTGCCTTTTGTTTACATCAGGGTTGTCAAACTCAATTCCTGTAGGGCCACAGCCCTGCACAGTTTAGTTTCAACCCTGCTCCAACACACTAAAGCTGCGGTCACACCGGGCTTTTCCTCCCATAGACTTCCATTCATACACACGCGAATGCGTCAGACCGGAAACGCAGGGTTCATGCGTTAAGTTTCGCAGGTTGCTGCAGTGCAAAGTTCAAGCTTGGTGAACTCTGACCTGCGAAATCGCATCACTTGACTGCGTGAGACCAATCGAGGAACAAAACATGATGTCTCTGGACAGAAATTTAGAATTTGGAGCAATCGCTCGCTTTTTAAATGTCTAACAATCTTGTTTAATCCTGCCCTTTTTCACAGCGCCGCACAACAGAATATCGCATGCTCAAACTCTAATGTGACTGCAGCTTTACCTGTAGGTTTCTAACAAGCCTGAAGGACTCGATTAGTTTGATCAGGTGTGTTAATTAAGGTTGGAACTAAACTGTGCAGAACTGCATCTCTTCAGGAGCTGAGTTTGACACCTTTGTTTTACACGGTAGATGGTAAGGGACCTAAACACATTTATAAAATGAGTTTCAAAGGTTTTAAAAGAATTGTGTTTTTGTGAAATCTGTGTTGTCATACTTGTGTTTCATGCATTCAGTCTGGATGACTACAAGACAGTGTGTGCACAGGTGCATAGTGTTTTTTATGAAGTGACATCATCCTCTTATTGGCCAGACATGAATGTCATTGTTATCTGTGTGTACACACTATTTAAAAAATAGGGCAAGGAAACCTTTTTTTTAATTATACATGTACTTGAAACACTATTCATTTTTTATGTATCGTGTTGTTAATGCGCATTTTAAATAAAGATGACCCTGGTCACAGATTCTTTTTTGTTACTCACAATTGTTTAGCAAAACCGTTCATAGTCATCGTTACAGCCAGTTAAAGGCAGCCCTAAAATGGCTCTGTGTCTGCTCAGAATTCAGTGTAAAAATGCTATATGCCACATTAAACGGTTCATGTAATTACAATTTTTTGAAAATGTATGTCTTCAGGTTTGAATTATGTGCTGCATTGTAACTTTTTTTGTAAAGATGTCTAAAGTAAAGGTTTTATCTAACAAGCATGTGTCCAAAGACATGAATCTTATTGGTTTGCTGTTGTTTTGATATCATATATTCAAATAAAAACAAAAAAAATTGTCAGCATATGAAATACTCTTTCCAGGTCCGAGCCGCTACTCATTTGAATTGAGAAAATATTCATTTATGACCACTGTTTAGTCCTATCACACATTAAACAGAATCTTATAAAAAAATCATGGTGTACACATGCACAACAGTCTTTGGATTTGCTTCATCCCAGACACGAATACTTTAACAATTTATAAAGCATGAATTACTCTCTGGCCATCAGATATTAGGCATGGATATAAAAAAAAAAAATATATATATATATATATATATATATATATATATATATATATATATATATATATATATATATATATATATATATATATATATATATATATATATATATATATTAGGGATGACACAATTCTCAATATAATATTGAACCGTTCAATATGACATCCACGGTTCAATATGAGCTTGTGAATTGCGTTTTTTTTTTCGGTTTTGCATTTCAATAATTTGTGTGTGTTTTATATCTCTCCGAATTGACTGTTTGTGTGTGCCTGTAAGTCAACGAGCTGAGATGAGGAAACTCCTTCCTGCAAGAAAATATTCAATCACAATGCTCTAAAGTTAGGGGGCGCTTAACCATCATTCCACACTTTAATGGCGAGCAGCGGTGAAGGCAACAGTAAGCGGAAACGTCGGATTTCTCTCCACACCGCGTCTTTCAAATCTGCTGTGTGAGCTCATTTCAGTTTTACCGGTGAGTATAATGCCAAAGAAAGAAAAAATGTTGTGCGAGCATTGTTTTACACGTATAGCCTGCTCAAACGATATACTTTCAACATGACTGCACATCTGCGGTGCCATCACAGCAATATCACCGTCTGAAGGCAGGATAGCAAAGAAGATAATAAGTTCTCCAAAAAACAACAATCCCTCGCTAAATTCTTAAAGCAAATATACCCAACTGGTTCCGAGAGACACATAAAAATAACAAAGCAGTGGGGGTGTTCATTGCTAAAGATTTGCAGCCGTTTTTAGTGAATGGAGATGCGGGATCTGCGTAAACTTACAGACTACCATCTCGCACTTTTTTTTTAGCACTGAGATAATTAAGATGGTTGATTTATGTTTACTAAAGTACAAATATGTTTGTTTGAAATGGTCAATTTATGTTTATTAACTTGAATAAATGTGTTACCCAGTTTGCACATGGGCTACCAGCAGCTGGGAGATTTCAGTGTTTTTTATTATACAACAGGAACTAGTGTACTTTTCTTGGCTTTTAAGTAAAATAAAGAAGTATTGCAATTAATCGTTTTTTTTTCTCCTTAAGCCCTGTTTACTCTCTTACTATTCCTATTGCCTCAGCATAGAATAACAAAAGAAAAACATGTGTCAAGTCATCAGAACCAAACCGAACCAAAAACCGTGTTAAAAAACCGAGGTATGTATTGAATCGTAGGCTAACTGTATTGTTGTATCCCTACTATATATATATATATATATATATATATATATATATATATATATATATATATATGGTAACACTTTACAATAGGGTTCATTAGTTAATGCATTTACTAACATGAACTAATCATGAACAACACATGTACAGCATTTAATAATCATAATTGAAGATTTACTAATGCATTATTAACAACCAAGTCCATGTTTGTTAAGATTAGTTAATGCACCATGAGTTAACATGAACTAACAATGAACTACAGTTTTTTTTTTTTTTACATTTTTTACAGTTACAGTTTTTTTTTTTACAGTTTTTTTACATACATACATA